AATGATTACTTGGCATCCCATGAAAACTGAACCACTCCAACAAGTTGCAGATGGCACATGAACAACAGTTTGAAGTATAGCATGGAGAGACATCACAGTTACAAGAATAAATAAAAATGTGTAATTTCCTTAAATCATAGATAACAAGTCCGAGGAAAAGAAAGTATACTCCAATAAATGCCAATCAAAAGGTTAAATGATGCAAATGCTAGATAATCACAATAAAAATCAACATTCACGAAAACTTATCATAAGTCATGAAAGTGGTGGTCATCAAGTAAAGTTATACCTACCGTGATCATCTTAAATAAAATTCATTTGACTATGGTGTTTATCTTCCATCAAAAATTATGAACTTGTTTTGTGCACATGACTTGGAAAGGATCTAGAAAGTCATGTAGGAGAGAATGAAGAAATAAAATATGAACTAAAATACAAAAACATAGAAGCAGGCAAAAAACTGAAATTCTAATTTATTCAACTGAATTCAATTTTTCAGACTTTCTATAATTTGGAGGGAAAATAACAACATTTTATTCACTTTACAAAGCATTGGTTTCATGATTTTATTTTTCCTAATTGCTTCCCAATACTAAATCAATATTATATTATCATGAAGTCAATATCAGTATAGTACAAATCAAAACTGGTTGTTGACTGAGCCCGCTAGGAAAAAATCTGGCTCCATCACTCAGCATCAATATTTGATCCTGCATATCAAGTACTGTAAGTTGGAAAGAAAATTTCTGCCTTCTGGTTTCAGTCTATGGTCCAACTCTAGGGCATGTAAATTTATCAAAATCAAATATGAAAATTCTGAGATTCAAAAATAAAAGATAAAAAATTTGACAAAGAGAACAATAAATACCCTGGAATTTCTATAAACAAGCTGAAATCATGACTTCTTTGCTTGCAACAACTCCACTCTTTCATTCCATCATGAAATATAGGCTGGAAAAGAAGTGTTGAAAATTACATTTTTGGAATATGTCAAGAAAAATGAGTAACAATAATAATAATAAGAATAAGAAGAAGAATATAACTCTTTACAGAATTGCATAAACGGAAAATTACACTTTTCACCCTCGTACTTTCACTCAAATTGCACTCTACTCCCTCATGTTTCAATTGAAACAATCTTAATCTCATTCTTACAATAACATTTCAATGTAGCCCTACCATCAACCTCTGTTAGGTGTCACGATTGTTGTTTTGTCTGAGACGGCCGTTACAGCCTCTGTCGGCAATATAACACACCCAAACGTGATTTATGTCACAATTTATTTAAACCATTTTTCTTCCTCTTCCTCTGTTGTTGCTCTCCACTTGTTTGAAATACTTAGATGTACTCATTTGGAGCTTGAAACTTCAAGATTCAAGTTTGATCTTGGAATCTAAGATGTGATACTTCTTCATGTTGAAACTTTCTTTTTTTTTGATAACCAGGAGTCCGAGCCAGCTTACGGTCTTCGTGTTGAAGTATTTGGTTGATTTTAGGTACTTTTCTTTATTTTTTATGATGATTTAGTGTAACATACCATGGGTTTTAATCAATAATATGTGAATTGCAATTTCTATGATGATTTGCAGAGAAATGAATTTGTATTGAGGGTTTTATTAGAAACAAGTTGTGTGTGATTGTGTGCACTATGCAGTGGATCTTCTTCCAACTGTGTCTGTGGGTCTTAAAGTTTGCTTTATTCTTATGAATTATCTACTCTAGTAACACTTCTAATTATACTCGATAACGAAATTTCCTTACCAGATAAAATACTCAACCTTTTTTTGGCCTTAAAAGCACTATAAAATTTAATATCATTTACAAAACATGGTTTTAGGTGACACATTGTTGATTAAAAACTATTACAAACATTCAAAATGTGATAAATATGATTAGAACATGCTTATCAACGAGTTCTTTTGGAAATTGTTAGTGCTTGAAAAAAAAAACCAGAGTTTAGTTTCCAATTCCAACTAGATGTTGGGCCGTATTCCCAACATTGTTACATTGCGACTGCAACAATTACGCCAACTGTATCCATGATTTAAAACCGTGATTGTACATCTGAGGTTAAGATTTATGATTGGAACATGAGGAATGGAAGCAGAACGTGAGAAATTAACTTACTCCCTGATGAAATGTAAGTGCGAGCACCCAGCGAAATGCCACCCCCCAAGCATGGAAGAGAAAAACTCAATCAGCAAAATGGCAAGGGACTAATGTTGATATATATTGATAAATCAATTTGCAAGGTCATACATGCAATACAATAGTATGAATAAAAAGTATACAAATTTTAGCGGGTATGCAACATCTAATAAAAGCAGCCTTATACTTTAGTGTGAAATCTCTAAACACAGGAGAACATAATGCACGATTACTCTTCTTTTTTTTTTTTGAAGAAGAATTCAATGCTTATCGGAATTGCATAAAGAATGTAATATAAATTATAATGCGAAACTTGATTTCAGAGTCAGTGAGGTAATGGCGGTACGCCACTTTCTAGGATAACATGTGAATTTCTCCTCTTATTGAGAACTTTCAGATGTATCTAAATTGCCAGCCACTGCTAACATATCTTCCATACATACCTATTCTTAATAGCTATTATAGGTTTCTTGTTTTTTGATCTGCTTTATCCAAAAATAGGTTAATAGAAAATACACAAATTTTAGTGGGTATACAATATCTAATATAATCATCCCTATATTTCAAGTGTGAAATCTCTGACAACACAGAGAGAGAGAGAACATAAAAGCAGGATTTTTAGGCCTTGTTTGGTTTGTGTTTCCCAAAAATTTTTGAAAAAAATTCTCTACAAATAAGTTTTCAAAAGTAATCAAACCAAACAAATTTTCTAAAAAAAATTTCCTAAAACTTGTTTGGTTTACAAGTTTTCCAAACAAATCTCTCTCTCATACGCATCAAATCAATCACTTTTTCCAAAACTCTCTCTCAAAATAATTTTCCAAAACATCTTTTGAAAAAAACCAAACCAAACAACTTTTCGTACTTGTTATCTCTAAAACTCATCTCCCAAACTCAAACCAAACATATTTTTTTTTCTTAAGGGTTCAATGCTAAGAAGACAATGTTAACCAACTCGTTTCATTTTTATTGACATAATTGCTAAAGGAAGCCAGGAAATTAATGTTTAATCCAATTCAGAAATTTGCAGATAAAATCATCCCTAAAATCCAAGGCGTGGAATTGAGAGTTTGAACTGAAATTAGTCCTACAATCTACAAACACCTTCAATTCAGGTTCAATTAGTTTCAAAAGGGGAAAAACATGGTTGCAAAATACATTAAAAAAAAAAAATCTTGAAGCCGTAGGGAAAATCAATTGAAGATTTTCAACTAGTCTCAAATAATACATACAAATATTATTCTTGAATAATTTGGATTAAATCCAAAAATGAGAAGCAACACCAATGAAGAGTAAAATCAGAAGAATTTAAAGAGAGAGAAAGAGAAGACTGACCGAGCCGTGATATCTACAGGAACCTTCAGGGTTATCGTCTTCAGTGAACACGGCGTCGCAGCCGATTCTTTGGCACCGGAGCTTTCCAACCTTGTCCATTCTCTTTTTCTCTCTCTACTTTCTCTTGGTTTCTCAGGAAAGTAGTAGTAGCAGCAGCTGACCCAAGTTGGAAGTCTAGTTTTTTTACCCCTCTCTATCTATCAGTAGATTCTAGAAGTATGAAAGCGGTTGGGTTAATAAGCCGAAACCACCGGGCTGTGCCTTCGCGACAACGCATTGCCTTTTCACAGGTTCTAACTATTCTATGCTGCACGCTGTCTCTGCGGAGATTTGTACTCGAAACGAAACTTGGTGCTCCGTTTTCGACGTCAGTTAATTTTTTAATTTTTTTTTATTATGATTAATATTAGGATTTTTAAAAAATTATGTAAGTTTTATGTAAGTCTCATAGTAAAACATTTGGTAAGAATTTTAATAAAATTTTTGAGATTTCTAATATTTTTATTTAATTATTTAATTTAGGACTAAAAAATCTTAATCATGATGAATTTTTTTGACTTTTTTAACTTTTAGAAAATAAAAAAATAAAACGATTCTAGTTTGAATTTAATATTTTATTTTATTGACATTTTAACTTATTTTGCCTTTTCGACACTATTTTAGTTTGATAGTGCATTTAACTCACATGTCAAACGAAAATTTTGTAACACATAATATTATGAATTAAATTAAATTTGACTGGTAATGAAATATTCCCAAAAGATTAAGACCCACAGTTGTTATAAGTTGTGTTTGATATAGTTCTGAAATTTTAATTCCATCCTTATACGTGAAGCCCCTGTTTGAATAGAGTTTTCAAAAATTAATTCTAACCTCACATTTCAAAATATTTTTCACAACACGTTTGGTAAAGCTCCTTTTAGTGAGTTTTTTAATTTTTTTTAGATTTACCCGGTCATTCGCCCCAACGTTCAGCCGGTTGATTGGAATAGTTTATTTTTTATTATTATTATTTTTTTAATTTGTCAATCGCCACTGTTATTTGAAAAAAAAAATTTGTTTTTGACATTTTTTAAATATATGAATTATTTTTTTAGACCAAAATAACAAATTATTTTTTTGAATTGAATTTTAAAAAGAGTGTGATTATGAATTTTGAATAGAATTTTCTATAGAGTTTTGAGTTGTGTGTTTGGTTATGAGTTATAAGTTTTTGAATTAAGTTTTGAAAATACTTTTTAAAATTCATAGCCAAACAAATTTTTTTTCATATGTCACATTAAAAATTCAAAATTCAAGTAAATTTTTTTTTTAAAACTTATAACCAAACAATTTTTCCTTTTTAAATTACAATTTCAAAACTCACAAATTTAAAATTTAATTTTATTTTCAAATTATAATTTTAAAACTCTACCAAACGTATCAATACCTAGCTTAAGCCTATGTCTACTGCAAACTGTTCCGCGAAGTGGCCAACGGGCTGAAAAACAAAAACCAAAAAGCCGAAGGATTTGGGTTTGGATTAGATGGATTCTGTTAGAAAAAACACAGACACGCATAGTACGTATTGTACTTTCTATAATTTGTGTTTTTGAGAAGACATTATTCGTTGCTTTAGTTGGGTTAGGAATGTATGAGAGGCTAAGTTTTCTTTTTTGTTGTTCTCCAGCTTTTATATTTTATTGCTAAATGTTATGTTAGTAGTGAATTTCAAAAAATAAACTCAGAGAAATTGTTTAATAGTTCAGGGGTCCCTCTCTCACTTTAGGGAAAATTAGGAAGTACTCTACTCTCTCTCAATTATTAATAATTTAGGGAAAAATTATTATATTAGTGCCACACCATGTCTTCAAAAGTTAAAAACTTGTTCAACTGCACAGCAGAAGTATGGGCATCATGTACTTTTTTGGGCTACCGTTTATATATATATATATAATTCTGTCCTTGTATGGTGTGTTTTTAAAACTCTCCTTCAATTTTATTGTTTTCCATTCCAAGTTTCTTATGCAACAGGTGGGTTTGGCTGAAAAAGAGAAAAACACTATCATCTTCAATTTGTTAGTGGTGATATGGCATATCTTCCACACTTTTGTTTACAACTCTAGAAGACAGAGCCAACAGGTTGTGTGTTTCCCCAAGGACTACGATCATTATTTTTTATCCTGCATAAAAACAAGAAATAACCCATTTATAAGCATCACATTGATTAGAATGCTATTGAAAATGTGGCGTGTCACTGTAAAGAGTGACTAATTTAACTGAATTAATTGCTGAGCTGAATTCTCTGGGTTGAAACCAGAGAAATTCTTGATTTTTGAACTGAATTTTTCTCTGGGTTGAACTAGAAAAATTCTCTATTTTAACTGAAATTCTCTGATTGAATTGTCCAGAGAAATTCTTTGTGTTCGAGCTGCGAACCTGAATGCTTAATTGTTATAAATCCCATTGCATTTTCCCCCTCGTATTTATCTCTTCTGAATGTAATACAAAGTTGCCCATGATGTTAAAGTCGAGAAATTTGCCTCCATCTCTGGCAATCTCAATCACAGAAATTGGAATTTTTTGGTTTCAAGCTGGAACCTGTAATGCTTAATTTGTATAATCTCATTGCATTTCCCCCCACTCTGTATTACTTTCTGATGTATACAAAGTTGCCCATGATGTATAAGCAGAGAAATTTGCCATCCATCTCTGGCATCCAATCACAGAAATTGGAATTTCTCAGATTGGAGAGAAAGAATTCTCTGGTTGGTTGGGACGAAGAGAATTTCTGCGAGTGTCTCTGTGATTGGTCTGATTGAGATAAAATCTCTAGTTTTCAGTAGAATTTCTCTGAGTTGAGAGGGAAATTTTTCTGGGTTGAAGTGAATTTCTCTGAAAGTCCAGATGAATGTGAAGTTTTCTCTGTGCAGTCCATAATTTCTTTGGGAAAAATTTTCTCTGGCTGGATTTCTCCTGGACTAGAATTTCTCTTGGATCAATGTTGAGGACCTTAGACATTATAAAAATATTAGAGTATCTTTGATACTATAAATCTTATATACCAGGGACTGCCTAAAAAAAAACCCTTTAATTAAGTATATCTAAAAAACAAAAAAAATAATATATTATAAAAATTATAAAAAATAAAAAAAATATAAAAATAAAAAATTAATTTTCTTAAACCAAACACGTAACACATCCTAAAATTGGCAGCAGTCAAATCTTACGGGATGGTAAACCTAGTATGAGAACCACAAGCTGACCCGTGGAGAGATAGTCAGAGAGAGGAGAGAGAGAGAGAGAGAGCAGGAAGAGAGAGAGAGAGAGGAGAGGAGAGAGGGGGAATAGTAAATTTATTTTTTAAACAAAAAAAAATGTTTTGTAGAGAAT